TGTGAGTACATATGCCCTCAATTAGCACGGATTTGCTGAACAAACCCCCCGCTGCTGACGTGGCACCTACCAGAGCACACTGACACTATGGCAATCTGGGGAGAATTGGGGGTCGATGAGTATCAGCCAATACTCAGACTACTATTACTTTCCTGGATGTCTCTGCCCGCCGCTGTAAATGAATGTCACACCAATTACCTCAAGAGAGCAGTTGGAAAAAGTCCCACTGGTGTGAGTACGCCCTCAGATGCATCAGAAAAGGGATACCGGGGAATGGAGTAGATTCGGCGCCTCGCTCCAAGCGTGGGTCCCTGCCATCGGATCTGAAACCTTTTTCCTTCTTCTTTCTTTTTCTTTTTTTTTCTTTTTTTTCTTTTTTTTTTTCTTTTTTTTTTTCTTTTTTTTTTCCTTTTTTTTTTTTTTTTTTTCAGGTGTGCCCACAAGTCGACAAGAGGGAAAAAATTATTGGCCTGCACGTGCAAGTGGCGCATGGCTACGTGGCTCTCGGGAGTACATCTGGCCGTATAGGAAACAGTCAAAACGTCGATTGGGAGATCTGGTAGACAGAGAAGATCACCTAAGCAAGCATGACGCACAGATCGAGATAATTCAGTTGGAGATCACCATGGCTCCTACGCAAGCATGACGGAGGAATCGAGATAGCTCAGTTGGCAAGGCACGCAAGTGGCATTCAGGAGTTCTTGGGTTCAATCCCCACTGGGCTCATGTACCTTCCTGGGCATGCTTGGCACCTGCCACCTAGAGATAGCCCGTGGTCCCCCCAATTGGCATTAAAAAGCAGTCTCTGCTGATGTTCATAGGGGGAGGGGTAATTGGGGAGGCACAGCTACTGGTCACTCAGATGATGCTGGGTCCCTCTGCTACCGGCTGTCCCCTGCCCGGTGCCCCCCATTGGGGGTTCCCTGAAGGAAATAAGGGCCCCCTGGGCTGAAAAGGCCTCCCGGTGTCAGATTGAATTAACCTGGGCTGGTTAGTCCGATGATAATACCTCAAGGCCATCGCCTTTGGCAAAAAAAAAAAAAAGTTATTTTTTTTTTCATTTTTCTGGGCCAGTCGTTGTTGTAGGTGGGATCCAGGAGGGTGATCCCACTACCGATGTATGTGGAATAGCGGATAGGGTGTGTGACCCTTCGGCGCCGTTGATGAGAACGGTGATCAGTGGTGTTGTTTTTCTTGGTTTTCGGTGACTTTTGGGGGGCTCCCATTGGGTGGCATTTCTTTTGCTTTTGTTGTGGTGCTCCTCTTGAGGACATGAACGTGAGTGAAAATCATACCAACTTTTTTTGTTTGGATTTTCACGCACCTTCCACTTACCTTTGTGTCATGCGATCAAAAGAGGCCGAAAATGAAAATGTTCCCCTTTTCTCATCATGAAGGGATGTCAGTTGATGTCATAGTCTTCCACAACTTGTCTGTCATTCCAAGCCTCATGTACATGGTCCATGAACTGCCCACATGCACAACATACCAGCGGAATCATAAGAAGATCCGCAACCTGACAGCTGATCGCAGTTCACGGCGGGTGGGCAACATTGCGTTGTCAGAATTGCGGTGTTTTGTTTTTTTTTAACATTTATCGCGGAGTAAAGCTGCCACACAGATGTCGCCCACACGTCCCGCAACAGTCACACTACTCCACATACATGGTTAGTGGGATCTCCCTCCAGGTCCAACTTGGGCCACAGGCTGTTGAGTCCAGGGAAAAACATTCGATACCTTTCAAAACTACACTATATTCTTCTCTCAAATTATTATTATTATTATTATTATTTTTTTCMCCCCCGCCCCTCCCACTACCCCACCGTCCCCCCCCCACCGGCCATGTTCTGCCAACTGCTTGACCTGCAGGTTTGTGACTTGCGTTGGCCACAACAGGCAAGAAGAAAGTTCCATTGGCCACAACAGGCAAGACGAAGGAAATCCGAGGATTGGAGTCACAGGCAACGACAACAGCGATGGCACCAAGACCAGAGCAACAGTGTGACCAACCGATTTCTGTTCCGCGCGACTTTCTGCGCGATGACAATGAGGGGTCCTAAGTTGGGAAGGTTGGGCCAATTATGGGAGATCGGGATTGAGGGAGAATTGCATCAATGTCCTCGCCTTTTTCGTCTTTTCATCCTTTTTCTTTCGTCGCTTCTTTTCGGATGGCTGGATTCAGGGCCAGGTAAGTCCGGGGATGATTGATTGAGTGGCTGTCGCGCCGACCAGGCCCCATTAATAAGGGTTGATGCCTCTTCTTTTCTGTGCTGTTGTCGGATTTTAGGCGCGGGAGACCGCGCAGGAATTTTTGCTTCGTTCTTTTTGAATTGTCCCTTCTTTTTTTTTTAATCTTGTCGAGCCCCGATGGCTCTCGAAATTTCGGACTTTCTTTTCGGAAATTGCGCTTTTCGTTTTTCTGCATTAAATAGGAATTTAGGAATTTTGCAATAAGGATTTTCTGTTGCCGCGCAGCGCTTTTTGCTTACGTGCTTCTTTTTGCGGCTGCAACGGAACTCTGATTAGTCGGCGCCCTTAATCGTGTGTGTAACTGTAATTTTGGGCGGGCGCCATTGTAACTGTATCTTTCTTCTTGAGCATCGTCTTTCCCCCTCTCGCTGTTTCTCCTGCTGTGTTTAAGCTAGCCCACGGACTGCATGCTCGGATCGATGCGTGGAGAGAGGCTACGTCCCCCACGCCGCGGCCCGGCCATGCAGAACGCAGGCGCTCCCTCTCCTAATCTTCTCTCTAAGTCCATGCAACTCCGGGTTCTTCGCGCATGCATGCACGCTATAAATTCCAGCTGCGCGATTATATAGCTCTCTTAACCAGCTATTGGAAGCTCGGGGTAGCGCGATCAGTGAGGGTCGGCACACGAGCGAAGTAAGAGGTGAGTTGAAGTGGGAGTCGGGCGACCCGACGAGCTGGTGCCAAACGCGGGCCACGACGGACTGTGGGCGCGCGCGAACCTGACGGGTGCGGGAGGACTAAACGGGGTGACGACTTCGTGGGTGGGTGCGCGACGACGGATTGTCCGCATCAGAGAGAGAGAGAGAGAGAGAGGAAGAGGGAGCTGAGGTTGATGGACGTGGATTTGCAGTTTTCTTTGACTTTTCTCCCTCTTTGCTTTTGTATATAAATTGGCGATTTGCCCGTTTGCCTTTGTTTTTCGGAATCTTGGCTTGGTTTCGGCCCACACTCGTTTTTGCGTTTTCGATCTCGGTTATTGTGTGTTATGTTGAATGAACGGATGAATGGATATTATGTCTATTTGCTTTTCCATGTGCCTGATCCTTGCCTTTGCTTGTCGTTTTGATACACTCATGAGCATAGTAGGAAAGTTCGCGTAATCCCCACTATTGCTGTTTGCCCTTTTTGATCTACTGTTGTTGCTGCAAATGTGTAGTAGCACCTGGCATACTCAGGAATGATTGTGTGCGGATCATGGAGTGATTAGATGATTGGATAGTGGTTTGTTCATAAATAAGCCAATGTCTCGTGGGGATGCGTGTAAGCGCGATCTGACCTGCGCAACCTACACGTATCCACGCGCGCCGATCCGTAACCATTGGCGAACTTGACACCGTCGATATCGGGTAGGCGGGGAGAATTCTTCCCCTACGCACCCAACGACAAGGAATTCCGATATCACCTCGAAAAATCCCCCCTTGCCGGTTAGATGCGTGCAGGAGAATTCCATCACACCGCGATGACAAGATGACATACTCGAGAGATTCAGATTCGTCGTGGGTCCGGAGTATTTCAACCCTTGGGTGAACGAGTGTCTCAGACGGAGACGCCCGGAATTCCCTTGCCTAACCAAGAATCGACTGTGTCCCAGGGAGTTTCACTGTGCTACAACCAGTGATCCAAGGTGTCCTGATTTTCCCACTTCAGATAACTCGCACTACTTCATATCCCCCGGGCTTCGTAGTTATCGCTACCAACTTCCCTCCCTTCCGCCTCCTTCTCTCATATCACCAGCTCACAGTTGTCCCGTGGAATTCCATCGCCGAGTACTGGCCCCGCACGCCCTGCGGAAACTGTCGGTAACGCGGCCACCGGCGAGCCCCTGAACACAGGAGGCCTAACCCAAATACGCGACGACAGACGCCACGTGGCTGCCCCCAAAGGCCCGACTCATCAGAATCACAACCATTTTGGGCAGACCTCGCCCCGAACCGCCGCCCCCAAAACAGACGAAGCGGACGGCCTTGAAAGCACCGCGCATGCCATCTGCCTTATGCTGCACGACATAAACGCCAACAGACCAGAAGGAACTCGCCCTTAGCCTATTGCACTTGTGCCCCTAGAACCTTGCCACATGAGATCCCAGTTCTAACCTGGGACTCCACCCCCACTTTCCCAAAAATCCTTGGCACACCCCTTTTCGCACTTCCAGGTCCACATCCCACTCCGATCAGGAACTCGTGCTGGGCGTGAGGTTGGTATCGGACCCGACACGTGGCCGGGTTGTAGAACCAATAGCACGATAATTGAGCGATCTGGCTAACCGAGGGCGACCTCGACCCCGGAACGCGCATAGACGCGACCCCGTCATCACTAGAAGCAGATTGGCTACTCGACGGGCCGTCAACATGAATGCTAATCACCAGAACCCCCTACAGAACCCGAATCCCCAACAAAATCTCAATCAACCCGTACCATGTGCACGAGCTCCTATGACGCCCCCTGACCTCTATTTGTTTGATCCTGCACACCATCTTGCTGGAGCATGGCTAGCCACGCTCCGCGCGCAGCAGTATGACAATAACGAGGCTCAGGTGAACATTCCCGCTCGATTAGGAGGAGGTGCTCATAATTGGTTTAGTATTTATGTATGGGTGGATCTTCCGACCTTCGAATGAGATTTTTTGAATCGGTTTGATTACATCTATCTGGAACAAGCACTCTTTGTGATTAAAGATCGAGTTCAAAAACCCCTCGAATCCGTTACGGAATATCGAAACCAGTTCTACCGGATGTTCGTAAAAACAGAGCGAGGTGAGCAAGTAGGAAGAAATTTGTTTATGGATGGATTTCGCGGTCGAACGATAAGGGCACGAAAACAGTTCTCCCCCATCAATCATACGCTGCAACCGATCATGGTTGCTGCATAAGAAATGGAACGAAAGTTTGCGGCGAGTTTCTTAGAAGGAGAAGACTATCCTAAGGAAGGAGACTCGTCCGAACTTGCGAGGGCAAAAGCTGAGTTGGCCGCATTGCAAAACAAGTTCGAAAACATGGGGTTTGTGTCAGGTCTTGTTACCTATCTGGAGCAGATACCCCCTAAAAGACCGGCGCCGAGTGTGATTACAGGTATGCACATCCCTGCGATGCCAGCAACAGTAATGACGGCACCCCCACCACCGATCGAGAACCCTGTACGGTCGAATGAATCGACCGCCATTTTGGAGCTGACCAAAACACTAATTAGCCTAATCCAAGAAAGCAAAAAGGAACAGCGAGAGCATAATGCTCGGCTGGAGGGTATGATGAGAAATATGCGGCCCATCGCAGTACGCGCCGCCCCAATCCAACAAGGATTGGCCCCGACACCTGTTCTCGGAGGGGCCGCGGGCAAACTGAACGTCTGTTACGCCTGCCATCAACCGGGGCATCTAACTCGAGATTGCTCCCACCGGCCCCCGCAACAACGGGTCCGAGCCGCACCAGTAGCTGCAACACCAATCCCTAACGGGCCGGGATGGGTAGAAGCATTGATGGAAGAAATGGAAGGTGGAGGAAGTACGTTAGCTACCACGGAGGAGGCTGCTGAGCTTATTCCCTTGGATCAGTATGTAACACTGGGATACCCGGGGCTCGAAATGATCGGTACGATTAGACCCGCGCCGGAATAACGGGAAATGGCGGAGTGGCGACCCTCTCCGGGAGAGATGGAGTCGGGAGGACCCACCTTCGTCACCGGAGAAATCGATGTCCTAAACATCGTCCGAGCATTGGATCATCGGATTCCTCTTCCGATCGGTCATCTGCTTTCGATATGAGAACAAGCTAACGAACGTATGTTACAGCACTGCAAAGCAAATCGGAAGCGATTTGCCCTTGCCAGAACGGCCAACACGAGAACGAAAGGACCAATGCCAGACGAAAACGCCACAGGCGTTTCCGATCCCATACGCATAGGGTTAATCCAGAAGGATGATCATTTTCTGCGAATTAAACTTGAACCTATCCCATGGAAATCCGCGGAATGTGACATAGAGATGTGGGGAATTCCATACAATGCCATTATCGATTCGGGAGCCGCTGTTTTGGCTATTTCGCTACGGGTAGTTGAAAGAGCACGAAGAAAGAACGACTTAATTATGCTAACAGAAAGAGATCAGCTCGTTTCCGCAGACGAAGAAAAGATTAAAATGGAGATACGGATGACCAATGTTGCATTTCGATTAGGAAAGGTGCATGCCTTGAGAGATGTCGTAGTATTAGATGTCAATACTTACGACGTTCTTTTCGGCCTTCCCGCCCTGGTAGCGTTGCGAGCCAATTTGGACTTCGAAAGACGGTCGATTATCCTCCGAAATACGGGAGGGAAACCTTATGTTGTGCAGATGAGACTGACCCTTCGTACTACCGCTAACATAGCTTCACGAGTTTCTCCCTCGATGACGGGAACCCTTCGTATGATTACCTGGGACAACGGGCAGCCCTCCAAGTATGCAGACAACAGCGATGATGTTGATGATGATCCCGTAATCCTGGAGATGGCACAAAAACGAATCCAGTACCCCGTGCAACGGACAAATGTTAAGACGATGAGCAGGACTAACCAAGATTTGCAAAGAACACAGGCTATGATAATGGGAGAACCTCTCGTACAGATTTCAAGGATGGTCGATTCTTTGGAACCCCCTCAAACCCTGTACGAAGGGATCTCCCCTCTTCTCGCCCGATAGAATGATAGAAGGCACTACTGCGATATCACGGATCTCCCGAAGTCTTTGTTGACACCCGCAAAATAAATTCGATTGTTGCGATTGGGGGCAGAGATTAACTCTTTGGAACCCCCTGAGCGCCTCGAGAACGGGCTCGGAATCAAGATCGCAATGGAACCTGTGTCGTGGCAAGACGTTCGAGATGGAGTAACACCCGAAGAACACATGGCCATCCGAGAACAAGATGCGCAGATGATGGCCACGGTGTTCTCCTGGCGATTAGATAACTCGTTCATCTCCGCGCCCCCGCCAGAAAATGTCAAGCGGGTGAATACAAAGCATATCGAGCCTCGTACTATCGTCGTTTCATCAAGGGCTTTGTCGCGATTGCACGACCGCTAACGAACCTGCTGCGAAAGGACCAGCCCTCAGTTGGGACGCGGAGTGCGAGCAGGCCTTCGCGACCCTCAAGGAAGCTCTGGCGACGGCGCCTATTTTGATGCGACCGGACCCCGTGAAACAGTTCATTTTCATCACGGACTGGCAGCCGCAGGCTATTTCCGCTATTTTAGCGCAAAAGGGGAACGGCGACTGCGAACACGTCATCGAATATGCGTCGCGAACAGTACCGGACGAGCGAAGGAATGACTCAGCCCCGCAGGGCGAATGCTACGCACTGGTGTGGGAAATCCAACACTTCCATCCGTATCTGTACGGATAGAAGTTCCTCCTTGTCACCGATCATGAGCCCCTGTTAGCACTGAAGAGGCTCTCTAATTACACGGGCATGATTGGCCGATGGGCAGTGCGCCTACATGAGTACGACTTCGACATCATCCATCGAAAGATAGAGAGACACGGCAACGCGGACGGGCTGACACGTCTGCATCGACCAGTTAAAGTGCCTAAAGCAGAGAAGATCACCCCGTGGAAGGAACCGGAGTCGATGAACGGGACCAAGTACGGACAAGTGGCAGTTCTCCCACGTGGCAAGAAGCAGGCGGGTGGCAATGGGTGACGGAGGTATTCCTACAACTCCTCTCTCTCCCCTCTCCTCCTCATCTCTCCTCTCCCTGCCTGAAAAATTTTGTTATTTTTGCGAAGCAATTTCCCGCATATACTCGGTCTCTATGCGCCCTAGTGGGGAAGGATATGCGGAATGGATAGATTGTCGACAGTGTGTCGCACGAGCCCACGGCTCGTGCATCCAATACCGAAATGACAGTAAGCCTTGGTTGTGCCCCTTGTGTCGGGTTGATAAGATCCCGACCGAGACTCACTTTTTTGACGCCATGTCAGAAGGGTTGAAAAATACGTGGAAGCTTAGAAGGGTCGAAGTATGGATGGATATCGCTTTGATTGCCACCCTAGTGGGTAGCCCCCTCCAGAATTTCACCAAGTATGATCGAAGGAGGGCCAACGAAAGGGCTCGGGACTACCGCTGGAATGAGGGACGGTTGGAAAAACGAAAAACGGATGGTAGTGGGATTTGGATGGTAGTACCGCACCCGTTCATGAGGTATGACTGGGTAAAGACAGCGCATGAAGAAACGGCTGCACATTTTGCCGTACGGATTACGGAGTTGCCAATCGACAAAAACCAGTGGTATTGGTCCAATATTCGTGACGATGTGAAGTTCATGATCGTCGCGAACTGTCAGGTCTGCGCTGCGGATAATGCGCCGATTCAGCCGCTAAGATCGATAGTACCGACAGTAGTCGAACAACCCTTTGAAAGGGTTAGCATGGATACTACCGATATTGTGGTACCCCCTGGACCCAATAATTGTGAATATTCAATCCTACTTGTGTTCGTGGACCATTTTTCGAAATGGATTGAGGCGTATCCCTGTCGTACGCGACAGGCCGAAATTGCGTGATACGTCAATCGGTTTTTAGGGATGCACCAAGACACGGAGGAAATTATGACCGATAATGGGGTAGAATTCAGGGGAGAGGTCTTGAGGAATCTGGTCGTACACGGCGTTGCTATTCGGAATACCGCACCCCATATGTCGCAATCTAACGGGCTGGTGGAAAATGCAAATAGGGTGATAAAGATGGCGCTACGACGCAATATCGCGACATGGGATCCCAGGCCCTGGCCTGATATCGTAGATCACATCCTGGCGGTCCATCGAGGGACGCCCCACGAATCGACGGGCCTGAGCCCGTTTCAATTAAGGACCAAAAGCGCGGCCTGCGTTTCAATACCAAGCCTCCCGAACGAATCTTCGCTGCACCGACGACCCACCAGGGCCACGGTTCGAGACAAGGCCAAGCGACACATGGAATTGATGGAAAGGTCCCTGCCCCGATTAGCGCGAAAACGACAGAAAATGACCGAGTTCGCCCACGACCGACAGGTTCGCAGTTACGAGGCCCGAAACGGGCCCGCGGGCCCGCGGCCCCAATATAAATTAGGGGACTTGGTACAGGTGAGGAAATGTGCTCGCCAGGGAAAGATAGCACCACGATTCTTCGGGCGATTCCGAGTGATCGAGCTTGGACCAAACGGAGTGAACACCGTGCGCCTCGTGCCAGAGGTCTCGGGAAGCCGATCGGTGAGGCCGATCGTTCGCCACGTGTCTTACTTGCATCCCCTCCCTTCCTCTCCATCTTCTGCACCTTCTTCCTCTTCTTTGGCTACGGAAGAAGACAACGACTCTCCATCATCTTCCTCCTCCTGCACGTCTCTCGCTTTGTCTCATACTCCGTCCCCGCCACCATCGCCATGAGCTTTCTCATGGAGCGAGCCCTCAGCGACCATCTATTAGCGCCACGAGGTTACATCTCAGCGAGTTCGGCAGGTTCGTCATCCGCAGTTCAATCTGGATCTACTACGACTTGCGCAATTCTTCTGCACTTCAGGGGTGTACGTAGCGACCGAGTTCCGATTCGTGGGCAGTCCTCAGGCGGTCGTGTTAGCAAAGGCAGTGGCTGTACATCAGCGGTCAGCTCCCGGGAGAAGCCACGTGTCCACAGTCATCGGTTTCAGTGGAGATATCAGCACGGTCAGTGCGCTACGGCATACAACCATCCGGATGTCGTTACGACAGTGGGGCCAGCAGTTGGCGGTTGAGTGGAACCATTGGCTCACACGCCACCGGGACAATCTTGTCCCTACAGACGACATCGACCTTAGGGGGATTCGGGCGTTCCAACACGAGCCGGCGGTGGTGCTTCCCAAACTCGTCCCCTTCCCCCGCCCTCAATGAACCATTCCCGACTTTCCACCTTCGCTCTCCCATCTCTCTTCCCCACTTTTTGGCAATCCGGCCTCCACCCTCGCTTCTCTTTCTGCTTGGAACCACTAGCTGTCCCCCTTCTCGATACAAGGCAGTGGCGGTTGTGGTGCGAACACTTAATCGATCTGTCTGTGTGCCTGGTCGGAGTGAGGCTTACGTGGACAAGGGACGAGGAACACCGCGAGTGGTTTGAGTACTTGGAGTTGATGATCATCCAGGCCTGGAGGACAGACGTGGAGGGCGATCTTCTCGGTTTCCTCTTCGGATCGGTACGGCCCGGCCATCGCCAGCTGATCGTGCAGGAGCTCACGGTCCCCCTTGCGCAGTTGGCGGACGATCTCCCCCTCGAGATCGTCTCGCACAGCGATGAGAGCCCCGTTCCTCACGTCCTCACACGGACTTTGACGTCGTACCTTCAGTGGTCAGCGTGCCTGGAGGAGCCGGGAAATTATCTAGACTCGCGGGAGATCACTGATCTCGCCTTCTTCCAGGATCGAGCGGCCTCCGAGGACGAAGAGATAGCAATCGAAGAAGAAAGCGTTGACGAAGAAGAAGAAGCTGCTGAAGAAGACGAGGAGGAAGAAACCCCGGAGGAAGGCAGTTACAGTGAGCACAGCGAGGGAGAGCAGAGTGAGAAGGAGGAAGAAGACGAGGGAGAAGAGGAGGAGCTAGAGCTGGAGGAGTCTGAGTGGGAGATCTCGGCGGAGGAAGCGGAGCAGGCGAACACTCAGGCGAAAGACCCCGAAACGGCACGCAAAAGAGACGAGATCGAGTCCGGGAAACGACAGCTGAGATGACAACAAGGGGTCCTAAGATGGGAAGGTTGGGCCAATTTTGGGAGATTGGGATCAAAGGGAAATTGCATCGGTGTCCTCGCTTCTTCGTCTTTTTGCGTCGCTCCTTTTCGGATGGCTGGGTTCAGGGCCGAGCAAGTCCCGAGATGGTCGATTTGCTCTCATTGCTCTTCGACACATCTGTTTCGATACTGATCCTTGTATGATGTCTCATTTTGTCTCAGTTTTCCCGCTTTTGCATGTGTGGAATGGACGAACTTGGATGGAGTGATATATTTGTCGTTTTTGCATAGTTGTCGTAATTGCCTTCGATATTGCTTGTCACTTTGATCCATTATTGATCGGATGTTGCTGCGATGTCTGATGTGTAATGACACCTTGCATGCTCGGAAATTATTGCTGAGTGATTAGATGATTGGGTAGCATCCTGGATAGGGGACGATCTTTGCATGAGGGATTAAAATCTCACTTTGGTAGCCAATAGGCGCGGGTGCACGCGAACCCCTCGCGTGGATACGCGTAAGCGCGATCGGAGTTGCGCGGCTTACACGTGTCCCCGCGCAGCGATTCGCGTTCACTCAATATGCCGCAATGACAAGATGTCGGACACATGGGACCCTAAGTACTTCGAGCCTTGGGTGAGAGAATATCTTAGGCAGAGACACCCGGAATTCCCCTGTCTAACAGAGAATCGATTGTGCCCCAGGGAATTTCACTGTGTCGTAACCAGCGATCCAAGGTGCCCCGATTACCCCACTGCGGATAACACGCAATACTTCATATCCCCCGGCTTCGTCGTTATCGCCACCAATTTCCCTCCCTTCCATCTCCTCCTTCCGTATCACCATCTCACAGTTGTTCCGTGGAATTCCATCGCCCCGTATTGGCCCCGCACGCCCTGCAGAAATTGCAGGCGACGCGGCAATCGACGAGCCTCCGAAACCATGGGGCCTAACCAGAACGCATGACGATAGACGCCACGTATCTGCACCCGAAGGTCTAACTCATCGGAATCACAACCATCCCGGGCGGGCCTCTCCCCGAACCGCCGCCACCAAAACAAACGGATCGAACGACCCTGAATGCACCGCGCATGCCATCTGCCTTATGCTGCACGACCTAGACCGCCATCCGACCGGAAGTAACTCGCCCCCTTAGCTCTATTGCATCTATGCCCCTGAAACCTTGCCATATGAGATCTCAGTTCCGACCTAGGACTCCACCCCCACATTCCCCAACAATCCTTGGCACACCCCTCTTCGCACTTCCAGGCCCACATCCCACTCCGATCAGGAAGTCGCGCCGGGCATGAGGTTGGGGCGTCACAGGGTTACATTATTGAATTGGGAACTTTTGAAAGTTTCTTGACCCTATAGAAGAAAGTATTGATTTGATGGTGTTGTGGCCAGGCCGCTTGTCTCTCTCTGAACAGCAATACCGTGCTGGGCAAATTGTTGTGCCCAACTCAACAAATTTTCAAGAGCGTGGGCATAAGTCACAACCTCTTGAAAGAATTGGGCGAAAAAATCCTTCACGAGGTGTCAGAAAGGCGTTTCAAGAGAGTTCCTCTTGAAACGCCCAAATCCCCAGCCTGCAACATGGGAGGTTTCAAGCGTGCTCGGCCGAGCATACAGAGCACCCTAAGAGGTGTCAGACACATAATCCAAAAATTACAAAGAGTTGTGTTGCACCCTGTATGTGTACGTGGGGAGTACGAGTACGTACTCTGGAGTACGTGCTCAAAAACCCGCGTACGCATATGTAAAAAGAAAAAAAAATTGAGTTAAATAATAACACACAAACAACTTTTGCCTGGGAGTCATGCCGGAATACCCAACCAAATTCAAATTTACAAACAAAAACTGTAAAAAAGTAATAAATTATTATAAATAACTGAAAATAAGAGTACGTACTCCCATATATGTGCGGAGTGTGTACTCCCGTACGTACTATGAGCAGAGTACGTACTCCAACCCTGCGTACATGTACATGGTGCAACACGGACAAAGAGATATATGTTTGTCTTTATCACGACATACTTCATCCCTCTTTCAAGAGTGTTATCTCGTCAAGGGCCAAAAACTCTTGGAAATGATGGAAGTCTTGAAATTATCTGACCTCTTGAAAGGTTTCACAGTTTCAAGAGTGGTGTGGCGCTACGGCGCATATGTACCATTCAAGAGGTCTTACGTTTAATTCCAATTGGAATCATGTACCTACCTGAGCATACTTGGTACCCACCCTTTAGAGATAGACCGTTGGCCCCCCGATCAGAGTTGAACCACAAGTCCACCCGGGCCTGGAAGCGCTCCACTGCGCACCAAGCTTTGCCGAACCACCAGGGGCGCACTTCTTTCTTTTTTGGCGGACAGCGCAAGCAATTGTGGTTTGGTAGGCCCAAGGTGCAAAGTTTTTGAGGTCCACGAGGATACTTTTTCACCAAGCCTGGGGCCGTGTACTGGTGGTGGGTGCAACTCCCGCATGTTGCCTCATTGGAGGCTTGAGCAAGGATATGGCCGCTACGGGGTTCCCCGTAATACAATAGTGATAATAAAGGCCGTCCTTTCCAGATTTGACAGGTAGATGAATTGGTTGGGCTTAAAATATTTAGCCTTTTGAACCACCACTACCTTTCCCGCTTTGGGGAAAAGTGGGAACATAGCCTACACCGCATATGTCACGGGTTGGGCTAAACGGCGCCCGCCGTTGATAATTCTCATAGGCGGCCACCATTTCGTTTCGGCCTCCAAAACGTGTGGGTCCCAACCCACAGCCGATATGAGGGAAAGGTAGTGGTCCTTCAATAAAAAAAAGCTTTGAAAAAATCCATGAATTATCAGGGCCCAGTGCCCAGGGCAAATAACATCATCACAGTCAGAAGTGAGGGACAGACAGGTTGTCCTGCCCTACCAAGAGCTCAGAGCCCTCTCCCTACTTACACAAACTATACTAGAAGTGCAATAGCCTGGCATGAACCTTAGTGATTGACAAGTATCATCTATAACTATCCACTACCAGACATCCACGCAGATTAGATCACCCAGTACCACCCAAATGCTACACTCTCCTGCGACCCTAAAAATTAGATGGGCCAAATCCTGGCAGAAAAGAGATGAAGCAAATATCCAACTTCTATAGCTCAGTCGTACACCGGACAAGACATGGTTGCTCAATTGGGTAGAGCTCTGGCGTTGCAACGGGGGGAGGTTTTCAGCCCGCAACCTCCCGAGCACACAATTAGTTGTTGCTAGATTGGAACCCCACGTAGTTGTCCCTAGCCTAGCACAGCACAGATGAATGACGGCACGGGTGCGCAGCCCCTAGTTTGTATGCTGATGTGGTTGGGGAAGGGTAGGTAGTGATTATGTTGTGTTTATATTTTGTAATTTTTGCTATACACAACTCCAAGAGTGTGTGTGCGTGCGTGAGCGCGCTCATGTGTGTGTGTGTGTGTGTGTGTGTGTGTGTGTGTGTGTGTGTGTGTGTGTGTGTGTGTGAGCGAGAGAACAGCAGGAACGGGCATGTGTGCGTCGTGTCTTTGTGTGTGAGCGCGCACACAGGAGAGAGAGAGAGAGAGAGAGAGAGAGAGAGAGAGAGAGAGAGAGATAGTACACATCTAGATGTG